GCGTAACGATGGGACCTTAGACCAGCGCTGTGCACATCTGCCAAAGGCGAGCTTGGCCTTGATCCGACTTTGAACCCGGTGCTGGCTGAGTTGAAATTCTGCAGAGCGGAGGAGTCGAGCTGACGGGAAAAGCGCTTGCCACTGCCATTGTGCGATCTCGGACCGTGAGTGCGAGGTGAGTCCGAGGATGAAGGAGTTCCAGCAAGGCCATCCAAGACAGCAAGACTATCACGGTTTCTCCTGGAGCGTAACAGCGAAGACTTGTTTCGAAGCTGTTTAATTGCAACATTGAGTCGGACGCGGTCACCGATTTTCTTGATACCCATTTCCGACAGAATCTTTTGGTCACATTCTAGCAGACTCTCACCCGTGAAATTGTTGGCCTTGAAGAGGGGCTCATATTGTCCACAGCGTATTGAGTGCAGCCACTCCCCAACCTTTTTCTCGTCCCACGCCCGTATCGAGTCCAGCCCGTCATAGACGTCGGAGAATTCAGAGTCTGTTGGGGAGGTAAAGAGGCCGTCTTGGAGAGCCATCGAAGTCATTTGCGTCCTGGTCGAGGACTCGGAGAAGTTGCGGACGGGAATCTGCTGGGTATTGCCAACATTAGCCGTGTATGGTGCTTTGGAGGCCAGCATGTTCGCGTCAATTCCTCCAACGTGGTTTTCGTAGCAACGAGCGGACAGGGAGATGTGCTCCTTCTCTTATCTAACCGTCGGCATTTGAGCGGGAATGGGAGAGGTTTGTGGACAGACAAAGAACGGTCGAGCGGCGGATTTAGTTTCACCCAGGCGGAAAGAAACAACAAGTGTGGAATTAGACAACACAGAGTGCGTGAGATGTTGTTGAATAATGGGCTAGGCAAGAGTATCTACTGAATAGTGGTCGCTAGTGGCCTGTCGAGTAGTCGAATAAGGAGGAAGCAGAAAGAGAGAGGATGAGGCCTGGCAGGTTCGTGAGATGGAAGGTCAGATGCAAGATGGATGACGAGTCCGGGCGGCTTTTGGGCTGGCTTGATGGTGGCACCGTCAAATCGATGTTGTTCTTGGATCGTGGCGGTAGAATCTGAAACACACGATCAGAGACCAACGAAATGGACGAGGAGGCTGAGAAAGCAGACACGAGAGACGCGCTTGTGGCATCAGGATGAAGCAGCCATGGGAGAGACAGGGAAGGTACGACGTACCTCGTAGGTCGGTACAGAGTCGCAAGTGACAAGGGGGCGCACCAGGCTGATCAGGCTGATCAGACTGGATCAGGCTCATTGGGCACATCCTGGGAGCCGGGGGGAAACCTGGATGACCCAATCACCACCCACAGGTAAGCCTATCAACCCCCAATATGTGCCCAAGTCCCAGTCCTAGGCGCGAACAGTGGAGAGGGGGTAAGGATGGTTTGGCACCTCTTGTGCCCTTTCGGGCCTGGCTCCCGTCCTTCTGAGATCCAACCATTGCTTTCCCTTTCTCTTCCTTGTCCACAGTGTGTCATGATTCCCTTCCTGGTCTGATCCATGCCATTGGTCCATCACCATCCTTTGCCATCGTCACGCCAGTGTCTCTCATCAATCAGTCACGGTCCGGAGGTTGTTCGATGACTTCAATACGGTCTGCTGTAGGCATGGAAGGAGAAACATCATCATCTTGAAGCGTGAGTAGGCTGATCTGACCCGGATAGATGCCCATCAACCGGGAACTTACACCGCCATGGTCAAGCGATCACGCGAGTCGTCGACCTTTTCCTCCAGCAGCGACACCGCCAGTTCTTTGGCAGAAGAATCTCAATCTCCTCGTCCTGCAAAACTGAGTGCTATAGCCACGGCCGCCACTCTGCCAGCCAAACCTGTCATGCAGTGTTCTCTGCCGCCTCACCGGGAAACCCTTGACTTTGCTTCTATCGAAGATTTCGAGGTGCATTATGCAAAAGACCATTCGAACCGATGTACCTCATGCGGCAAAAACTTCCCTACTGCTCACTTCCTAGCCCTGCACATCGACGAGAACCACAACACCTTCCGCGAGGCCTTACAAGCCAAAGGTGAGAAGACATATGCATGCTTCGTCGAAGCCTGTGACAGAAAGTGTTCCACCCCGCAAAAACGCCGTCTCCATCTAATCGACAAACACTTGTTCCCCAAGATCTACAACTTTCGCATTGTCGACACTGGCATTGACAAGTCAGCCTCCATGCTCCACGAAAGTCGTCGCAGAAGAGTGTCAACCAACGTCGATCAGGGAACGAACAGCGGCCACCGACGACAGCACTCTCGAACGGAAAGGAGGAAGAATCCTGCCGCTGTCTCACCAGACCAGAGAGAAAATCAGGGCAGAAAAGGAGAACACAGTCTCGAATCCACTAAGGATGTCTCAGATGCAGTCATAAACGATCTCGAATCATCCCTGTCCGCCCTTCGATTTGTGCCACCTAGTGTTGCCCACAGGCACCGAAACAAGCCAAACCATGTGTGACAACCCCAGGGCGAGAGATCTCCGGCGAAATTTGCGTCCGAAAATGACAAAGCATGTTGGCCACGCCCTACATAATGCAGTCAACATGTGGCAGGAGAATTGGAACATTGCAGCATGACCATGCACCTCAGCCGTGGGACTGTGAGCCGTTGATTGCCTCTTCACCCCTCACGAGGCTGAGGCTCTAGATGCTTAGCACCCCAGCGACATCCATGGCCGGTCCTCAACTCGATGCGTTGCTTCTGGGGTGGACAGAAACTTTCATCCGTCTTCACACGGCTCTTGAGAACTGCCCCCCGGAGAAAAGCACTTGAAATCAGCTTCCCCTCACATCGAGCATCCGCTATCGACTCAGCCGCGGATGACTTCTGGGCATATACTGGTGCGGGGAAAATCTAATCCATGTCTGCCTCGAGCCGACGTGGTACTGATCCCCAAGCACCTCGACACAGTTTGTACCTCTGCAGAACATCTCAAAAGTGTATCACTCGGTGCACTGATCCTCCAAGCACCACCAACAAATCGCGACAAGTATGGCGACAGTGTCAGTTCATGCTCTGAGCGCCGGCCACATCACAATTCCTGAACGATTCTTTGTGGTCCCGGCGGACCCTGTCGCAAAACGAACAGTGCCTTCCTTATCTTTCCTAATACAACACAAAGATGTGGAAAGTGGAAAAGTCACACGAATCGTCTTCGACCTGGGTATGAGACGGGAGATCGACCTCTATCCGCCAGCCTTAACAGCTCATCTAGCCAACCGAGGGCCTGTCTCTACGCATCCAGATGCAGTTGCTTCACTAGCAGCCGGGGGCCTCTGCGTGAGTGACATCGACTACGTGATATTCAGCCATGTCCATTACGATCACGTCGGACTTCCGAAGGACTTCAATGACGATAAGACCAAATTCATTGTAGGCAATGGCGCTCTCGATCTTCTCAGTGGAAAGACACAACTCAACTTGGGGAAACATATGGTATTTGAGCCGGACTTGCTCCCGTCAGAGAGAACAATAGAACTACCTCCTCCAGACGGTGGGGACTCACAATTCTCATGGAAGCCATTTGCAACCTTCCCACATACGATCGACTTCTTCAAGGACGGCAGCGTCTACATTGTCAATGCACCTGGCCACCTCCCCGGCCATATCAATCTCTTATGCAAAATCTCCAGTCAACCACCCAAGTTCGTTTGCCTAGCTGGAGATGCATGCCACGATATTCGATTGTTAACGGGAGAGTGCGACATAGCGACATGGACGGACGAAACCGGGAGATACTGCTGCATGCATGTGGACATCCCAAAGTCGAAGGAGACGTTGGCTCGATTATATTCTTCATCGAATGAAGGCATCAAGGTGGATGGAGAAGAGAAGCCGGCGGAGTTTGAGGTGATCCTCGCACATGATTTTGCGTGGGAGGAGAAGGCGGTCAAGGAGAGGAAGTTCTGGCCGGGAAAATTATGATCGCCCTTTGAAAAAAAAAAAAATTAAAAAAAAAAATTGGATGGCTGAAGAGATGGAGCGTGCGATGGGCGAATTCTCCTGCTTTTGTCCTCTGGACAGGCTTCATCGACCAGGTTCTTACATTTCAACGACGTTGCTCTCCATGGCAAGAGCAATTTGAACCACCAAGTCCCACCATTTTTTTCAGAATGGTTCTCCACGATCTCGCGAAGTTGATTGAAGGCCGCAAGTGGCAGTCTTTCTTTGTCTCCTTGTCTCGATGCCATGTCGGCAGGCTGTCTTCCTATCCGCGCCACGTTCAGTGCCACCTGTGTCATTGTTGAGGATGTGTTGGACTTGAGGTCACGTGATATAATGTCATGTGACCTGAGTCATGGGTCGCACCAATGGAAGTGACCAGGACAGACTGCCACGCGCAAACACATATTTGTGTCGAAGGAAGCAAGAGAACCTAGATAGTCAACCAATCCAAATATCTTGCTTCTCGTTTCCTACACAATGTTGCCGCCCTGGGTAATACCTCTTGCCCTCTTACCACTCGTCTCCGCCTTCGTCTCTGTCGTCTTGGTCGTCATGAATTGATCCCCTGCCTGAGCATCAGACCAGAGCATCTCCTACAGCTCCCAGGTGAAGTGTCTCGGACCTTTCCCAACCCAACGACGGGCCAAATCATTGGAGGGAGATGATGCTGATGTCCGCAGAACGCAGAAACCAACAGAAACAGGAGATAGAGCGAGTTATAAGAGCAAAGAGATGGATTTGGATAGCGATGTTGCTCGTCCACGATCTTCCCAGGGGACGCTAGTTGAATATTTCTGTTCTAGCATTTGCTGCCGTGGATGATTGTTATAGCTACACAAGAATATTTCACACCCTGATACTGATGTGCTTGGGGTCCCCAGGTCCAACTCTACCAAATGCTGTCTTCCTCCTATTCGGAACAATTATTCTGCTGGGGGTATCTTTTGCATGTAAGTAGAACAACACTCAAGATGATAATGCTTCTCTTCATCCAACTCAATCCTGGTACAATGGGTTGGCGCTGTGCCCCGTTCATTGGGACCCAAACTCATGTTCCTTCCTCTATTCCTGAGCCAAAGCCCTCCTCTTCCTTCCGTTCATCTTTTCGATCAGCCTCAACTTCATCATCATCCGTCGGACTGACAATGATCGCCGGCGGCGGCTGTGAGGCCACGGGACTCAAAGTGCCCTCAGACGATTGTTTGTCCTCTGTAGGGGAGGAGCCATCGGAGGCTCCATCCTGGCCGCTCTTTTCTTCTGTCTTCGTCTCGGTCGGTGACACTATAGATTCTCTTGCGACACTGCTGGTGCTTTGGTGTGCTGTCCGGCGTCTCATCCTTCGCGCTTTGCGTTCTTCATCAGCCCCATCGCGCCTCCTCCGAACATCAAGTTCGTCGCCTGTTGATGGAGCGGAGCTTCTCATTTCCTGAAGAGCCCTCAAAGCCCGATCCGCGACGTCTTCGCTTTCACTGATGTCCCCTCTGCCGCTGGTGCCATCTGTGCTAAGATTATCTTCATTGGCTTTCTCTCCTAGACCAGCAAGACCGCGACTCTCTTCCACCCCGTCTTTGACTTGAAGCTCGGGAAGTTGCTGGCCGCTGGCAATTCTTTGATCGTGTCTCTCTTTTAGCCTAGCCCGTCTCCTTCGATCACGTTGATCTTTCACTTGCGGCGCTGCAGCTCGCAGTTTCTCGAGCAAGGTTTCCATGGCGCCGTTAGCGGGAGGACTACCAGGTGTTTCAGCGCCGCTTGCTCCGCCGCTCGCGTTGGCACTGGCCTGAGCCCTCTTACGAGCGAGACTTGCTTCGAGGCGTCGTTTGTTCTCTTCCATAGCCATGTTCTTCTCTCGTGACTTCTTCCATTCCGTGACGAAGCCGCCAAGCTTACCGAAGAACTCTCTGCGGGCATTCTCATCTTGATTATCTTCGCCAAAATAGGTCATTATGTCATCGTACGTCCTCGACGCCTCGTCCAGGAAGAGCTGGAGTTGTTCTGCCTTTCGCCTTGCCTCTTTCATGGACCTTTGTACGACTTGCGCAACACGATCTTGAGGATGGAACTTCTTGGGATCGCTCAAATTGCCGGCGTCCAGTGAAGATTGAACGTTCTTGATGTTGTCGATGTACTTCTTTGCGTCCTGGCGCAATTGGTCAACATTGAGCTTTGCGGCAGGAATGACGCCAGCAATATCCTCTACAAAGCCCTCCCATTGAGAATACTGATTGCGAACGATGCGTTCGATAAGGTCGGCGAACGTCGTCTCATTCTTGTCATCCTTTACCATGCCCAACCGCGCAAGAGAGCTAAGTTTGAAGCCAGAGGCTTGCTTGTTTGAGTCGTTCATGTAGTTTCCGATATCAAGGATGAGGGCTAAGACGCTCATGAGAGAGGTTGAGTCCCGAATAGCTTCGGAAACGTTGACCACATCCTTCAGTTTGCCGGAGATATCATCGTACTCTTGTTCGAAACTTCGTGTCAAAGCGAGAGCTCGCATTCTGGCTTTCCAGTAGTGATGTAACTCGTAAGCCGTCTGGAGGTAGATCTGATCTTCCCTTGTCAACTCAGACGGATCTTGCTCACGCTTCGAAGTCAAGGCATCAGGTCCGGTCCAGTCTTTGCTATATGGCGCCATGAGTTTAGCGATATTTTCGGGAATCGTGCAAAGATCTTCTCTTTGTAGGAAATCCATGACCACGTTGTTATCGAGAACCTCCTTGTCGCAGTGGATGATCTTGCGCACCACCTCTTCGGCTGAATCATTTTTAAACTTGGCCATCGAGACGTGGAAGTTCCTCATCATGTCACTACTGATGATCTGCTTCTTGTCATTCTTGCCCTTGCTGCCTGCTCCGCCGATGATCTTGATCTCTTTCGCAATAAATAGCTTCTCAACTTCGTCAAGAACGCCCTTGCGCTGTAATTCGCGGTACTTCTCTTCTTTAGACTCAGCGTTCACGTTCTCTGCCCAGACGGTGACTTGGGGCGTGTCAACTTTGTCCCAATGGAAGGCTTTCAGTTTCTTCTTCGGACGCATGATAGGATTCTTAAGCATAGGCGCAGGTACCACTGGCGACTGGGGCAAGAAATGCCCATGTTGGGGACCAGGCAGAGCTGGAGCGCCCGGCGGAGGAGGGGGGGGTGGGGGAATGGGCGATAACGGACTCATCGGGAGAGAACCAGGGGGGGGCGGCGGAGGCGGAGGAGGACCGCCGGTGAAGCCCGGCATGGAGGGAGTAGCGGGAGAGATGGGCATGCCAGGAAGCGGCGGAGGAGGCGGCGGCGGCGGCGGAGGTGCACCTGTTCCGAACCCAGCAATCAAGGCGGCAGACGCAGGATCTGACGGAGGCGGCGGCGGAGGTGGTGGAGGAGGAGGAGGTGGGCCATTGAACTTGGCTTCCGCTTGTCCCTCATCAGGAGGAGTCTTGGGAGACTCGGACTCCAGGCTCGGGTGGCTTGGTCCAGTTGTGACACCAGCATCATCTCCTTCCCCTGCCTCCTCGTCACTTTCGTCGTCAATCTTCTTGACCTTTGAAGCAAGCTCGTCCAGGAGGTTGCTTTGTTGATTTTGTTGATCTGCGCTGATCTTCGGCCTTTTGTACTCGACAAGTCGCGGCTTCTCAAAGACAACATCTTCTTCCACTTCCGAGTCCTGGTCCGCTTCTTCACTGATTGCGAGCGCCTCCAATGCGGCTCTTCTGGGTCCTTTGTGGGCATTGCTACGATGGACGCTTCCCATAACACTATTGGTGAGGTGTCGTCGTGTCTGCTCCTGGAAATCGGCATCAATCCCGTCATCCATCTTTTCACGAAGCTCTCTGAGTCGATCGGAAGGCCCTGTCTGGCCCCAGACTTTTCCCTCCAATTTGAATTGTGTCTTGGTGCGCTCGAGGTTGCGCTCTAGGCGCTCCATCAACTTCTCCCGGTCCAAAATGCCTGCCAGTTGAGCAGGGTCTTGAGGTGCAGTGCCCTCCTTAGCAGCACGGGAAGCTGCAACATCCTGGGCATCTCGAAGCATGAGGTAAAGCTCTCTCGTCTCTAACTCGTTGCGTTGCAATTCTTGAGCCCTGATTCGTTGGAGTTCAGCCACCTCCGACTTCAAAGACTCGGCTTGCCTGGATTGCATTTCGATGATGCCAGCTTGTTCTTCGATCTGTTTCTGCAGCTTCTTCACCAACCCATCAGCCCCCATGGCGATCTGAGCTGCCATTTCATCCCTTTCGGCAAGGGCTGCCTCGGCGATCTGCCTCGACTCCGTGGCTTCATCAAAAGCAATTCGCGCCTCGTCGTCGGTATGCAGTCGATCCAATAAACTTTGAACCGTGAAATTGAGGCTCTGTTTGAGATCCATATCTGGCAGTCGCCTGTCCATGGCCACATAGCTGAGCATCGAATCCACAAGCTGGAACATTCTCAGACGCTCATCGGCGTTGTTCTCCCTAAGTAACAACATGTGCTGCATTGCCGAGATGAAGTAGTCTTGGGTTCTCGTGCCGTGGACTTTCGACATGATGGCGTCGGTGATTTGCATTGGATCCGTCATATCCTTGACTTCACCTTCGATACTCTCGACCATGCTGCTCCCTTCACGCTGTAAGAGATCCTCATAGTCGATCGCCTCGTTTTCACGGAACTTCGCAATTTGTTTGTCAATTACGTCGTACTGAAAAGACTCCATCTTCACCAGTATTCGCTTGATCCCGCAAGCAATAAACTGGGCTCTGATATGGCATCGTAATTGCAGGTCTCGATCTGGAGCATCCACCAACATGTTGATAAGGACGAGTGTAGCAACAGCGTATTCCATTAGAAGGTTTTCCATGCCAATGCCACCACTCCGGACCTCTTCGCTGGCTCCTACTAGGCTGCCCATTTTGCCTCGGCCGTCGATGGTGACTTCCACAATGCGCATCCAGGCGTCGAAGCGACCATTCTCACTCATTTGGTTCTTGACAAAATCCATGGCTTGTAGCACCTTGAGGTGGCCCTGGCCTTGATCCCAGTGGCAGAGGAACGTCAAAACTTCGCTGACCAGTTTCCTCGTGGTAAGCCTCGGAGAAATGAGACAGGTCGCCAGAGCCACCGGTATCTGTTCGTGCTTCAAAGCGTCATCAGCGCCGTATTTGTTGTTCATCAGCGCTTTCAGACATTTGACTATGTCGTATTCCCGGTCCAGGTCCTTGTCGGTTGAAGCAACAGAGCTTACGGGCGTCGGACCATTAGCCTGACGTCGGTTGATCTTCATCAAGACACTGGTCAAAGCAATCTGACCCTGTGCTTCGATGAATGATTTAACCCAACTGATGGGCTGGGTTCGCAGACTGACACTCAGACTTTGCAGCTGTTTGGATGTGATGCTGTTATCTAGAATCCTTTTGACGTACCACTCGGGGGTGCCCTCGACATCCTTAGATATTGGTCCATCAAGAGCTCCTGTCTGTCTCGCTTGCTGTCTCCTTTTCTGCTCACCTTGCCACTCGGTCAACTTGTCTTGATGTACAAGAGTCCATTTCTTTGCGGGCGCATACGCCATCATTTGTCGTCTGGCCTGCTCGGGCAGATTTTGCCAGCCACGTTTGTGCATCAGCTGCAGGAACAACTTCTCAATCTCCGCATCGCTTTGAGGTTTAGGAAGGTAAAACCCGGCGGGAGTAAAAGAGGTGGTCGAGCTGAAGGGCGAGGCTTGTTGGGTAGGCCAGCCCGAGTGTGAACTAATCTTTGATAGTCTGGAATGAGTGGGAGAAATTACTGTAATAGAAGAGTCGGAATCCTGCCGTGGAGGCATTGCCGTTCGCGACGAGCTCTCCGAGGAGAAGAGGCTTGAACCTCTAGTGGCTGTGGAAGCAGTTGATTTTATGCTGGCGCCGTCAAACGATCTCCTTTGTCCCGACCCAGAGTACGAATCATTGGTTGATACCGAGTCATAGGTTCCATGTTGAGGACCATGGCTGCTCCCAGGCCGACCCCATTGTTGATATTTTGTGCCTCGGTCCCCAGCTTGACTGGACGCCATCGTGATGCCAGTTGAGCTCGACGAGTGTGGAGGCGGGCGAGGCCCGGTGGGGTGTGACGATCCATTCGATATTCCATTGATGGCAGGGTACTGATGAAAATCAGAACCCCTCGCAAGTTGGTACGGTTGCGGATCTTTTCGCGTTGGTACTTGGTCGTCTCGAGGGAGATAGTCCACCGTTACTGGTGCTTGCCCACCTGCAGTCGTGGCAGAATAAGGGATAGAGGTGATGACCCCGGCGGTCATGGCCAGACCCAAAGCATCAGGGTCTTGGCCATCATTAGAGGTAACCGATTCTCTTTTCGAATGACGCGAGCCCCAGGAGCCATTTGTGTTGGAAGAATCGAGACTGCCGCTCCCTTCGTGGCGACTGTCCGCCTTCGCGTCTCGGTTGCGTCTAAAGAAACCTTTGCTTGCGGACGACTGTCTGGTCGTCTTGTCGTTCTGGATTACCTGGGGCATACTCGGTGGTGCGCAGGCAAGCCAACAGGACGCATGTGTACAATGATGCGGTTGTTATGCCCCCGAAAGGGGAAGACCACCTCTTTGTGACTTTTCTTCCCCTCTTTTCCAAACAACCCTGATTCTGTGACGTTCTCGGCTTCGGCTGCGGGCGGCGGATATTTATCCTTGCATGACGCCCTGCGCTTTCTGATACTGATACACCTGGTTCCAACACAAGGGATATCGGCAGCGAGCACGTGTTTTGCCTAAATTGGTCGCTTGGTGTCGTTGAACAAAGAGGAAACAGGATCGTTCAGCTGGCGAGGCGGTAAACAATTGGGCGTGATTGCAGACAATGAAACGGCGTATTTATTGGCTGCGGACGTCAGCGAGCGCTATAACCAAGAGAGCGGGAGCAAAAAGACTGGAAGAAAGCGAGGGGGGAAATGCTGGATTGCAAACAGAGATAAAACAACGCTTTGACACGACCGCTCAGGTTTGCGGCGGTTGTCGAAAAAGTTCGTGAAGGCGATGGTGGTACTGGTGGTGTTGGTGGTGATGATGGACGACGGTCAAATGTGCCAGCGTCCCCGTCAGGTGTGAATTGCATCGCAGTCCCCGTCCGTGTCCAAGAGCCACCGAGCCACGCAGCAAATGATGATCTCTAGTGTCCTTGGCTTTTAGGCGTGGTGGGTTACTCGGTGGGTGCAGGTGGATGCCATAGCTGCTTGGTGCCTGCCTGCCCAGGGGTTCAATCAACAGTCTTTGGCGGCGGTCTTGGTGCACTTGACTGCTTAAGCGGCTGAAGCGGTGCCGCCCGTAGACCAATGGACTAGGGCAACGGGTCCCCAGTAGGGCAGCTTAAGTCCTTAAGTAGGGTAGTTTAGGTACGAGTAGGTAGGGAACACGCTTCCCACTATCCTTAGGCCTCGGGCAAGGGTCTCCCACCTGCGATCGGCGCGCACTTCCAACTAGTAGCAATTGCGCCGCTATCCCTTTCGCTCCAGTCCCAAGATAAACCAATCTCAACTGCTGCTCATGCACGCGATACAAGCATACCAATGAACGCTGTAATACCTCGTACGGAGCATGCAGTGCAGTACCGTACAGAGCCCCCCTGTGGTCCCTCATCTCTTTGAATAACGTCCCAGCGATCCTGTTCGTTTCTGTCCTCGGAATCCTTGGCCTGCTGTAATCCGGCCTCTCGACTCCCGTTCATGATCACAACGCAACGATTTATGCGAAGCCTGACACTTGTGGCTGCGCCTGCTATTCTACACCTGGTGCACACGACAGGACGTATTCCGTACGTAGAAAAGGGTCTGGATAGGACAAGTGCCTACTTGTACAGTTGGCGCCTACCAGGTAGGTACTCGACATCTCGAGACCGTTGCCCCTTCGCCTCCCACTCTCGAACGGCCCCTCCTGGCTGGGGTCTGGACAGTGGACACCACCAAGCTTTCCAGATTTGGGTGCGCCTAATCTCATGACGGACGTTCGACTCGAGCACCTCACTCCATAATATTCCGTACGGAATATATATTGCAACTTTCCTTCCCCCTCATCTCTGCCTGCCGCCGAGAATGGCGGCATAACAATGGGCTTCCCCTCGAGGCGCTCGCTGCCCAGCACGATCGTTAGGACTGAAGACGCACCGCCAGCTCCGGTCAGCGCCACAGCGGGCGGCGGCGCCATGGCTGCGTCAGGGTTCATGAACTTCTCCAGGGTACGAGGCTCTTCTGAATCAAACGGGGACTATTGACAGGACTGACTGATGGCACAGACGATCCTTCTTCCTCTATTCATTTCTCTCGCCCTCTACCTCCTGGCGTTCCACGTCTTATTGCCTCTCTATCGCCGTCACCGAGCCCGATATTCCCAGTACCTCCCTTTACCACTCCAATCCGTACAGTCCGCCTCCATTTCTCTATCCACCCGCCTTTTCAACTCAATATTCCCTGCTTCCGCACGCTTCGTACTGCCAGCAGTCTTCGCCCGTTTCTTCGTGCCCACAGCATGGTCATACCGCCCCACGCGAGACCGATCAAACAGCATTGTCAGCGCCGACGAGGGCACTCTCTTTGACGAAGAATCCGGAGAGGCGATGGTGGGATTTGACGCCCAGGAACGGAGCCGGAGACGGGATGCCATGGAGAGGCAAGTTTCGAACATGGATGCCGCCACCAGGACTGTGAGTCGCAGTGGTGGTATCGGAGGAGCACCCAACTCGGATTCGGATCGACGACTAAGTCGAGACTTAGAGGAAGGATTCCGTGATGATTCTGACGAGGATGACGAGGATGATCAGGTCGTGGTTGAGAGGAGGAGTAGCAGCGCTCGGACATGAACTGGAATACGATGCCATGAGTAAAATATCCTTTCGAACCGGAGGCGGAGGATAGACAACGCTATTTCTTTCTCGACTCTGAGATGCTATCTGCTAGGACAGTGACCGCTCGCGTCCGGCTTGAACTAGAGGACTCTTCTAGCCATCACTCTGAGACGCGTTATCAAAGTTCGCTTAATCGAAGAGAACCCGAAAGAGGGTCATGCATCCTGCTGAGTCTCGTCCCTCAGCATCATCGTCTTCATCATCATGTTGAAAGTACAATTCAAATGGTCGATCAGTCAAGGAAATCAAAAGCAAGCGTAGGACATGAGGTTCAAAGACGCGTGGAAGGCAGCTTTACTCCGCGAACGACCGAGGTAGACGGAACTGCAAGAGATAAAAGAGAGCAGCGTGTTCCTACAGGTTCCCATAATCATGTTCCCAGGCGCGTGTCAGAAGCCATCTTTACGGGCCTGTAAATTCCGGATATCAGGTTTCAAATACGGATGACACGGATGGAGCTGAATCCAGAGGTTGTTCTGACGCCGGAAAGTATTGTTTTTGTCCCCTTTTCTATGGCATAGATGAATAGATAGAAGTGGCTATATGTACAGTTGGTCCAGCAGATTCCCAAAGCTCCAGTCCTCGTGGTAGATGACAGAGATGGCTACTTTTCGTCTCAGGCAGGAGACGAGGAACAAAATAAATGGGGGAGAATGTCACCATTCAGCTTCTCGCTGAGGGCGCCGTCCGGCATCAAAAGGCCTTACCAACAACCTGCCATCTCATAAAACCAACAAATGCATCAAGCTCTGGTTCATCATGCGCACGGTCCCGTTGCCTAACCAGGTATAAAACGGGACTTGCGGTAAAACAATAAAAAGCATAAGAATTTCCTTTTCCGTCCTCGCAGGTGAATCATTCAGCAGTTGCAACATGCACGTCTCAGGTCTACAAGTTTTGCAGCATCGAAGGCTGAACAAGTTGACTGGGGGCCATCATTGGCTGAGAAGTCATTGGCTGCATGACGAGCGTTGATGGAGGGGGCATGGACATTGCCATCATGCCAGAAACGCTGGTGGGTCGGGTAACTTCATCTGGGGACGAGAGCTCGTCCATAGAGCCGAAATCATTCTCTTCAGTCTCCATCTCTTCTTCACTGGTCACTGGGGCGGGTTGGCCATCTTGTTGAGATTCATGGGTTCGGCGGTGTCTGCAGATTGTCAGTCTCAACGTCGAAGATTTGAGTCATGTGTCTACTCACTGAGCCAGGTTGTCAGATCGTGAAAACGCCTTGTTGCAGTAAGGGCAGACATAGGGACGTTCTTGAGTGTGAGTTCGGACATGTCTAGCAGTCACACGTGTCAGTAAGTGCCAAGCAAGATCACAGGGGCCTTAGGCATACCGCTTGAGGTGCTCAAGGCGCTTGAAAAGCCGCCCGCAGCTGGGGATTGGGCATGAATGAGATTTGTATGGTACACCAAGTTCCATCATGGTTGCACTTCGTGCTCTGCGTACGGGCCCTGGCCTCTCTAACCGGACAGCGGGGCTAGCTTGCAGTGAGTGAATGTGCATATCGTCTCCCATCAGACTAGGCATGGGTTCAGTGCTGGCCGACATTCCGAGGGAGTGTGTTGGGTCCTCCTCGAGGCTCGGTAAGGGCGTGCTTCGTCGGGAAAAATCAGCAAGATGATCGCGATTAACGACCGAGGAAGCGTAGCTGTGAGCAAGACCAGGAGGAGACTGGTCGCTGGACTCATCGCCTTCCGCAATAGGCAAAACAGAGCTCGACATCGACCGGCGAAGATCGCTAGGCCTTTGAGGAAGATGTGCCTTGATTCCATGAGTAACTTGAGCAACGGCATTGGCAGCCACCGCATTCATGATGGATGATGGGATTGATGAGCGCCGCCTCCTTGCCTTGTAGGTGGGAGAGCCTTCAATCACCGAGTAGACGTTCGCAGGGGGGAACGGTCGTGGTGCAGTTACGTGAAGCGGGCCTGCAAGGGTAGAAGGCGGCAATGAAGCCATTGGATTATAAGCCGGCATGGGCTGCATCTCTGGGATAGCAGAGTAAAGGCCAGTGTCCTCATTGGCAATATACGCAGGCTCGGCGCCAGGGATGGCATGTTGTGGTGGTGTAATGGGCTCATACGAGAGACCGCGAGTGCTGTAATCCTCAAAATGTGACGACACGAATGAAGGAGCTGGGGAATACTCCATGTATGCAGGCATGGAAGCATGACGAATGTGCGCGCGATCGTAGGCGACGTGAGAGAAATCCGGCTCTCGAGACATTGCCGTAGCGGAAAGGGGAGTTGGCAGGTTGCTCTGTATGCTCATGCTAGTATACATGGTCTGCGGCTGCTCCTGAGATCGTGGCATCTGAGGAGGCACCATTGGAGGAGGCATAGAATCCGCTGCACGTAGGACGGGCGAGGTCGACTGGGAGTAGGTCACATTTGCATTTGCGGTCGCAAAGGAGGACGAGCTTGCCTGCTGGGCCTTTGTGAGTTGCTCAAATAGCGATTGCGACGAGTCGAATTCAAATGAGAGCGCTGGCTCCGCCACTGCTTTGGTTGTCGCCTCCTGGCCCATCTTCTCGCGCTTCAGATCTCTCTCCAGAGCATCGAGAAACAGGCGGTCATGAGGCACGCTGTACCAGTAAAAGACCTTCTGTTTCTTCTGC